TCGTCAGAAAGTAAAGAGAATCGTCGGAAGATGAATAGGTAAATAACCCGGGTCGAAGTCAGCCGCGAATAATTAATTCAAAATTTAGCTATATAATAAACAATCGTTAATTCCTTCGCCCTTTTGTTATTTTAGTTATTTTTCTTATTTCTTAATTCTATATCATAAATAATAAAATGAAAAAGGATCCTCATCAAAAGGGATTCTTAACGGAATTCAATAAAACATCAAATTCTTTTGTTTTCTCCTTATTCTCATTGCTTCGATCCTTTCTCTTGTTTTTATTTCTATTGCCGGAAACATCAAATATTGAGGGCGACTCGAAAAATTTAAATAATGATGATTTTAAATAGATTCACGAATATTTCGTTTTTCATCCCGTTTTTGTTATTTTTTTTTTTTTTTTCATTTTTAATTTCAATATTAAATTCAATTAAATGTGGGGCTCTGTCCTCACGTCCGTTGGAAACCGTAAAAGGGCCTTGCCAAAGCCCACTCTCAACCCATCGTCCCGCGGCTTGTCGTTCGGGGAACGAGCCCGGAGTTGGTGGAAAAGAGGTAGACCTCAGTGCGGCGGAAAACGTAGCCCCTCTCGTCCATTTCGAGGGCTGGTCCTGATGGTCGACACATCCGAAATTAGGGGTGATCTGACTACCCCTAATTTCTCCCAGTCGGTCAGACAAAACTCCAAGCCGATTCCTCCTCAGACAACTTTCCTATAGGTCAATCTCGCGGTATTAGGGCGACCGACTGGCCTACGGTTGCCCGACAAACAAGCCCGGACCTCCTCTCGACGCCCCCGTCAAGCCCGCTTGCCAAGATTAGACAAAACGCACCAAATCTAAGTGGACCACTCGTGCTCGACGCAAGTGCCTCCTCTTCCCTGTCTGGTGTTTGGGTTTCTCAGGAACTCTGGGGCTGAGAGGGTGTTTCTTCCCTTTCTTGTGTCGCTGTTGTTTGGACTTCGATACCGGAATATTTTGACGCTTCTTTCTTCGTTGAGGAGCTAGTATGACAGTTGTGACACCCTTCCTAATGCGAACTCTTCTCTTAGGCCTTTGCCGAACAAAAACCCATTTCCTTTTCTTACCCAGCGTTAGACCCTTCACTTTCCTGGCTTCTACTATCTTTCTCTTCCTTGAACTCTCACCTACCTCGAACCGTTTTGGTGGTCCTCCGTCTACTATCTTAGCTTTACACTTTCTTTTAGGATCTAATGCTCTTGGTGCAGGAGTAGGACTCTCCCTCGACCTAAACAGCTTCAGTCTAGCTCCTGCCACAGGATCCTTCCACTTTGACCCATCTAGCTCAACAATCATGTAAGCTCCCCAGCTTAACGCACCAACTACACAATATGGCCGCATCCATCGGTTAGCCAGTTTCCCAGTCCATGTTCTTTCCAAGGCGGCGTCGTAGAGGAGCACCATATCGCCGACCATGATCTTTTCCTTTCTGATTCTGACGTCTTTGTCCCATCTCGCTTTACTTTTCTCTCTTTCTACCGCCAGTCGATTAGCTGCAGTCATGAGGTTATCCTCCAATCCGTATGCTATCTGTTTGGTCCTAGCGGCTAGGAGCTCCTCCCGTGTCATGCTATCCGCAATTAACCGTAGTCCAATTATCGACGTGGAATTGCATAGGCAGAGGACAGTGCCTCCCAAACCAAAGCATGTAAGGGGGGTACCCAGTGTTGGCTCGGACAGTGACATTGTCAGCCGATATTGCATACCTGAAATACTTTGGCCAGTCGCTATCCTTCCCTCTACACCACTTCGATAGCGATGGTATCAATGACTGGTGGCCCCGCTCCACAGACGCATTTGACTGCGGGTGATAGGCAGTAGCTATAGACACTCTAGCTCCTGCTTTCTTGAACACACTTTGTACCTCATCTGCTAGGAACTCCGCTCCTCTATCCATCACAATTTTACTGACACACCCATATCTATACAGATACTGCACGACGAAGTTCTTGACTTCTCTCGCGGCCTTTGTTCTAATGGGCTTGCCATCGACAAATCAAGTGAAATCATCCCTGATGTTCACTACATAGTTCATATTCCCTACGCCTTTCGGCATCTTCACCAGATCAATGTGTACTTTCTCTCCTGGATTAGTGGGATAAGAAGGATGAAGTGACTCCTTATATCTGATAAGGGATCTCTTCTGGCAGTCCTCACAAGTTTCGCAGTACTTTTCAACGTCCTTGTATTGTCCTTCCCACCAATATAGTCTGCGGACCTTCTCATGTGTTCCTTTTACTCCTCTATGTACTCCGACTACTCCGTCATGTAACTCGGCTACTATGGACTGTTTCTGCTCTGGGTCACAAATCACCGGAAGAGGCATTCCTGCCCCCACAGGTCGTCGAAACAAATGCCCAGCTCTAAGGCAATATTGCGCTGCCTGTCTCCGACAGATACAGCCCTATAGTGCAGTACTTACCTTCATAGAGGTTGACTAGGAAACGATCCGTTCGTCTAGGCTCAGCCATAGTCAGTGCAGCAACCGATATCGGTCGCTCCGCCTCAATGGGAATTCGTGAAAGTCCGTTGGCTACAGCGTTCTTAGTCCCTGAGATCCTCTTTACAGTATAGTCATAAAGTCGAATCCTGATCAGTCATCGCGCAATCGTAGGATCAGTCAAACTGAAATCCTTCTGTAAGACTGGCGCTACAGTTGTGAGGTCTACCCTGAGAACGAATCGTCTGCCGTATATGTAATGCCTAAAGGTATCTAAGCACCGTACAACAACCAACACTTCCTTCTTAAACTGACTGTAGTTACGTTCTGCAGTGTTAAGCGTTCGACTCTCGAACCTCAATGACCTTTCTTTGCCTTCTGCATCCTTTTGAGAAAGCAATCCCCCTACCGAACACGGCCCAGCATCCGTAAACGCTATGAACGGTCTGTCCGTCTCGTCCTCAAAGAATGGCACACCTAGAATTCGGCCTTCTTCTTTGAATTCTTCCTTGAGGGATTGCACTGCAAGCTCTTGAAAAGAATCTCAATAGAACTTCTCGGTCTTCCTAAGAAGAGTGCGCAGAGGCTCTGCTTTTTCCACATATCCACGTATGAAAATCCGCCAATAACCCACAACGCCTAAAAATTGACGAACTTTTGTTGCACTGTGTAAAGGAGTCGGCCAGTTCAACAATTTATCCAGCTTTCCAAGGTCGGGTCGTCGGCCTTTCGTGTCGCATATAAACCCTAGAGTTTTAATCGTCGATACGTCCCATCAACTCTTTGTCCCGCTAACCGTCAGGTTAGCTTCATCTAGCTGATCCAAGACAGCGTAAATGTCCGTCAGGTGTTGCTCAATAAATCTTCTAACACCAGGGGCAACTTCCATTTCGTCTTTCACCACTGGTCCTTTTATCGGAAAGTCGTCCAGAAAAATTTCTACTTTATCAGGGATAAAGTCTTTCAGAACCGCAACCATGGCCCTCTGAAAGACCGCTACCCCATTGGTCCATCCCATCAGAACGACCATCATCTGCACCAATCCGAGCGGCGTGTGCATGGCTGTGAGATGCCTATCTCTCGGATCTAGTGTTATTTCGTCATATCCTGAAAATAAATCGCAGACAGAATAAATGGATCTGCCAGCCGCTCCTTCTGCTAATAGATCAGCGTGCGGCATGGAGCCTACATCCCGAATCGTCACAGCGTTAACCTTCTGAAGGTCTTGAATCCACCGAATCTTTCCATTAGGCTTCCTAAAAAAGAACCATCTATTTGCGTACGCGCTATCACATGGCTCAGCTACGTGCGATGCCATCTTTTCTTTGCGAAAGAAGATCACATCTTCCTTCTTTTTCTGAGCAAACTTCCACCCTGCGTCATTTCATGGTGTATGCGGAATCGTGTAGATCCTTGCATGCTTAGCATACCTAGGATCAATCCTGCCTCTTTCCGCATCACTGAATGCTATAGCTTTGTCGCAGGACTTAAGGACTTCCAAGACTCGTGCCTTCCCCGGGTCAGTCAGATTCCCATCGCCTATGTCCATCTCCGCTATCCTCTTTTCTGTAAGCCGTTGCGGCTCCTTTCTCTTCTTTTCTTTGATCTYTCTAGCGATATCTTCCTCAGATACTCCATCTAACGCTGATCGCTCTCGAGCTACGGCCGCCGGCTTAACCTTCTGAGCTACTGTCTTGGGTGTTTTTGGTCGCCCCCCATAGGGGGCTGCACCCTTAAAAGAGACACAGATATCATCCTTCTGAATTCCTCTTCTTTAGCTTTGGGATAAGAGTTCCCTCCCACATGGACACGAGTGCCTAAATCCTCGACTTCCACTATCCGACCTTCTTCTTTTGTAAGCAGGGGTCCATACTTCTTTTCACGAAAGCTCAGGGAGCGACTCGCAAGGGGAACCGGTACGAGGCCCCCTGCAGCGAGAACCGCTCTATTCCTCGGGTCACGAGGCTCTACCGTCTCCATCATAATCCGCCCACCATCGGGACGCTTGATGGAAAGCATTTGGCTTCCATCCGGCCGTTCTATAGTAACGGCATGGACGTGACTTAGCCATGTCCGCCCCAATAATAACTCTGCGCTGCAATCCCGAACTGCGAAAACAGACATCATCACTCTCAGCCCTTCGACCTCAATCGCAGCCTTGTGGCAAACCCTGGTGACCTTCTCCTTTCTTCCATCCGCGGTCTCTATCTCAAATTTGAACGACTTATCAAGGTCTTATCCCAACCGGATTGCCCGGTCCTCATCTATGATAACAGCCTCACTGCCGTTATCAATCACCGCATGAAGAACTATCTCGTCATTGAGGGTAGTCTGTACTGTCCCACTGCCCAGGATATAAAATTTGTCAGGAGGCACTCCCTCTATCCCATCTAAGAACACCGTTGCAGCACGATCTGCCTTAGCGACCACACTAGATACCGCTACTGTGGGTATCTCCTCCTGTTTGGTTGCCATCTGGACTTCGTCGCTCAGAGGAATACGCGTTTTGTGCATAATCATCTGCAGCTCATCCTGCGCTGGTCTCGAGACCGCCAAATACTCTAGGATCGTGCACTGCATAGGGGAAAGTATAACTTCTTCCAAGAGGTTCGACCGTGTCTATGTCATCGAGAGTGCTCTTCATCGTGAATTTTCTGGACCCACGTTTGCGTGGGACGTTTGCGTGGGGAAAGTATAACTTCTTCTCCTTCCATCCTCTGCCCGTCCTTCATTGCCATCACGTAGTCAGTGTCAGCCTTCTTCGAGGAGGAAGGACTAGAGGACTTAGTAGCCGTCACTCGTATGGGTGTCATGGGGGCGTCCTCTTCAGAAGGCAGACTCAGCCTCACACTCTGGGTTTTTGCGACTCCCTTACCCTTGTTCAGTACTACTCGCCTAGCTTCCACGTTCTCCTTCATTGAAGGAAACATCGATACATCTCCTAGGTTATCCGCCCACTTGACGTACTTGCGATCATCAAGTACGACAAGTCCCTCATCTATCGCCCGTTTGAGGTCAGGGCAGTCTCTCTTGAGGTGATCGTCTCCCCTGCAATAGATACAGGAGTTACTAGGTGTAGGGGGTCGTTCCTCCGCGGACTTAATTGTCGGTCGTCTCACATCCTGGTTGGATGGCCCAGGGGATCTGGGGTAGTTTGGGGACTTGGGATATCCTGGCGACGCAGGATATCCTCCTCTCTCATACTGTCCCCGTGRCTCTTCTCTACGATCGCCACCTCTCTCTGTCCGCTCGTAACCGCGTCGATATCCATCTCGGCGGTCCCTATCCGACTCCCATCGTCCTCCGGAGTCCTCTCTATCCCTCGAGTTCAAGTTGTCCGGGCTCCGGTACCCTTCGGCATTCCCACCGTATCTGGGACTGCGCGGATACTGGTCTCTGGGACTGCGCGGATACTGGTCGGGTCTGTCTCCTCGACTGTAGGAATCTCCCCCTCGATACCCATCACGCCGCCGGTCTCTGTCTATACTATCATCCCTGCGCCTCCGCTCATCATCCTCTCTACTCCTCCGATCATCCTCATCTCTGCGCCTTCGATCCTCCTCATCCCTACGTCTACGATCTTCTTCATCTCTACGTCGTCGCTCATCTTCATCTCTTTCCCTCGCGCGGTAATCAGCCAATGTGCGAGGGTTATGGTCTTCGACACTCCTCCATCGGTCGGTGTTCCGACGATCCCATCGCAGAGAGTAGGGGGATCCAGGCTTGTCCCAGTACGTAGTTCCGACCTTCGTTTCGAAATTTGTCATTTGCCTGGCCATTTCCTTCATCTTTTCTTGCATCTCCTCTATTACTGCGTCGTTATCCCCTGACCGATGGGATTTGTCCCAGTCCATCAAATATCGTTGTTCTGCCCAAGGTTTGTCGTCGAAATCGAGGCACCTATCAGTCCCATACTCCTTGTAAAAAGAATAATCTTCGCGCTGCATGCCTCTCCAGAGCAAATCCTTATACTCATCGACTTCCACGTTCATGGCCAGCTTAAGTAACGCGGTGAAGTCCAACTTATCGTGAGGCGTCTCCGTCAGTACCGCCTTTCGCTTCCCCCTTGGCAGTTTACTAAGAAAGATCGTGCATCTTTCTACTTCCGATAACTTTCCTCTTGTCATGAGGGCATCGGATACCTTCTGAAAACGCATACCAAATGCTTGGACGCTTTCGCCCTCTCTCGGAGTCAACGCCCTTAAATCCTGGATCGAATACTTGACGTCTTCTAACTTGAAAAACTCATAAAGGTTGCTCTTGTACGTAGCCCACCTCATGTCCCTTGGTCGGGGTTCCTTTATAACCCGGCTCAGACTTGGGTATGTGTTAAACAAAAAGTTATCTACAATCTCGCCCTCAGTCCACTGACTTCGATAGGCATGCAACTCCCACTTCTCAAGGTATTCAGTGATACCGCATCCCAAAAAAATGGGAGGCCTGGAATCTAATTCAGAAGGCTGATGCGAGATGATGACTCTATCCCTCGCTTCATATGGCAGGGGCTGCGATTCCCCCGTCTCAGGATCAAAAATCCGTTTGGCCATGGCAACTCTGTCTCTATCTCTCCAAAGTTGTTCTCTGATAAATTGGTCCCTCCAGTCTTCACCCCCTAGATAGGCTCTATCTTCTCTACGCTGGTACAGAGACGGGCGTTGAATAAATGATTCACGCCGAAAGCTTGGCGGCTCGGTCTGAATCTCCACCCGCTCTACCGGAGCGACCCTGTTTGGCTCAGTGACGACTGGAGGCGCCATCACCTCAGGCTCGTCGTCGTCCGGCTGCTCTACGCACCTCAAAGGGGCGTCCTGTCGAAGACGCTCTTTGAGATCTCGTAGAGCGCGGTTCGGCGATGCTCGATATACAGGTTGCTCCTCGTTCGGATGCGGTCCTATCGTGTCAGATTCCATATACTGGCTTCCACTCCTGGTTGAATTTATAAGCAGCTCAGGCCTGATTGCTGAACCACCAGCTTGGACCTGATGTCAGAACTGGCAGCCCGGTCCTAATGTCAAAACCAGCAGCCCGGACCTAATGTCAGAACCAGCAACCCGAACCTAATATCAGAACTGGCAGCCCGGACCTAGAGTCAGAACCGGCAGCTCGGACCTAGAGTCAGAACCGGCAGCCCGGACCTAGAGTCAGAACCGGCAGCCCCGACCTAGTGGCCAAACTCAATCATTCATCTCCGACCGCTCTCAGAATCACAGAAAGTCTCCCGGTGTCGTCTCATATGTCATGCTCACCCTCGATGCCTAAATACCCGAATCAAAATATAGTTTTCCTTTTCCCTCTCCTATGCAACGCACGCCTTTCCTTATCTCTAGTACTCTTGTCTCTGGTATCCTTACCCTCCTACAAATCCCTGTCGCGACCCTCATCAACTCTCCTGGTGCACAAGAACGCTAACTCTCTCGTAGGTCGACTGATGTCCTCTTGCGCTAGATCACTCAACCCTCGATGTGAGACGTGAGCTCGTGCGAGCGGGTAATCACCCCTTACGGCCATCAAACTTAAAGTATCGAAGCGCTAAGCCAACCACTGCCTCATTGCTCCTCCCTCGAACCACCTGACGCGGTACAGGAGGTATGGGCAACCCCTGGAAGAGCGCAATCTGGGTATCCCATATTACCTCCTTACCTAGTGCGTGGAACTTATCCCACTCACTCTCAACCACTTCTTCCGCACGCTCCCAGCACCGGCCGTAAATCAAATCCCTCTCTCGCTCTGCTGAGGGGTAAATCCTAACATCGTACACCTCAACGGCTAGGAACCGAACAGTAATAATGTAAAGGCGTATCAGTTCCCAGCCTCTGTCCACTAATTCATATGTCATTACTTCGCACGGAATCACCTCTCTTCGCCCCAATGAACTCAACCGCTTGCAGACTCTCGCTAAATCCTCGTCCGAAGGTATGTTGCCCGCAAGAAATCTCTCTTTCCTAGCGTTTAATTCTCGCTCAGAAATGGTCTTTGCTTCTCACATTCCTATAACCTACTCTACACACTCCATGTCTATCAACGCTAAAGCTACCAGAATCCTTTCTGCGGATTCCTCCAAAAGCTCGTGGAACGTCCCAAGGAAACTCACTCTCGTACTGGTCGTATGCTTTGTAAATTCTTAAAACAGCACTCTCTGTTATGACCCCAGCAAAGTCTCCAGACACATCAGCGTCACTCTTCAAAAATCTCTCTGCCTTCGCGGGAGTCTCGCGCCACGCTCTGCTCAATGTCGCTCCATCGAAGGGGAATAGGTGCAAGAAATAACGAATTGATCGCGCATCTCCTTCCCCCACCCAGAGTCCAGTTGCCCTCGCCTTTTGAACGGCTTCTCTACTGCTCTCCGCCTCCTCGATCACGGTGAGCTTCTCTAGTTGCTCCAACTGTATTCTAACACAAGCGGTTGACCCTTCCAACTTTCCTATAACTCGCATAGAACACCTTTCGGTGCTCATTCTCCCTTCTCATCCCTCGTCACTCTCAGCGATATCTTTCTTCTCTCCTGACGTTGCAGTCTCTATCAACTCCTCTTTCCTTCCTGTCGACTCAAGAGATCCTTTGTCTCCTTGACCTCTCCTCTTGACACTCTCTAGAAATTCTAACCTCCACATCTAAGGAAATCTTTGTCCTTTATAAAAAGTCTTTTCAGGGCCTTCGTCGCACCTTCTATTTTGCGCAGCTCACTCTTTTCCTTGTTAGGCCCGCAGTCCTGAATCTTGAGTCTGACTTCCTTGACGAGCTAAACGATCCGTTTAACAATACGCTCCTCTATTCTCTTCTCTCTTCCTTCTAGATCTTCATCTTCCATAATCCATCATTTTTCTCATCATGAGCTTCCTATCACATATTACTCCTAGCTTCCGAGGGTGTCTCGTCCCGAATTATCTCCAAGCGCACTCTTCCTTTAACGCATACGATCACCTCATATACTACCCAACTCCGCGTCGTCAATTCCCTCAAGGCATCGGGTCTCTGCTCTCGTATGACGTCTTCTGCAAGTTCTTTGAACTCTCTATCTGACAGTTCTACTTCTATGCTCGCCTTCAAGAGAATCTGCAGGGTCTCGATGTCACACGCTAGCTGCCTAGAGACAACCCGAGCATAGGGGACGTCGCCGAGGAGAGTGACTCCTCGTCTCAATTTCATGAGTGGCTACTCGAGGGTTCCTCTCACTCACGCTCCTCCAAGAGTCGGATCCCCTGCGGTCCCACCAGAGTGAATACGTGGCCCGAGCTCTATACCTATACAGTTGCTGCTCGTGCTCGGTCATGACAGGGTAATCATACTCTACTCCTAGCTTCTGCTACCATCTCATCGAAGAACAACTCGGCGCGTAGGTACCCTGCTGACCACACCGTTACTTCATACGTTATCTTGGTCTGAAAGGTAACACATTCGAGAACTCATGGTCTATATTCTCGGATAAATTCCCTGGCTTGTAGGAAACTCTCCTGCTTTGTTAGGTTGTCGTCTATGTGAGCTCTAAGTAGGACTGTAATCGTGAAGCCCTCGTTTACTAATTGCCTGCTCACATTAATCCCTGCAGTCATAAGTCCTGGCATCCCTTCTGGTCGCTAAGCACAAACAAGTTTCTCAAGTCTTCCAGTCCGACGTACTTGTCTTCTGCGCGCCTTCGACAATAGTTTATTAGATCTGCAGGTCTTAACCAATCCACCCAGCAGGTAGCGTAGAATAAGTCTTTCCACGTTTTCTTATCAGGAGGTCCCCAGTTTACGTAGACTGAGTAGTACGCATCTCGGAATCAAGGTTCTAGTCCCAGCAAAAGCGTATGCAGAGCGTGGTCGACTGCTGTCCTCAAACGGCCCACCCTTTCGTAAGTTTGTTCTATAACAAACTCAGGTAATACCATCCGCCAGCTCCCTATCGGATGGTAAATCTGTGGGGGAGGGCCGACCACGATCCGCGTGGTAAAAACCCTACCTCTAGCAGTGCGTATCGGTCCTCACCTCACTATCGCCTCGGCGAAGACCTCTTATTTCCACCAAACCCTGCTCCCGCCTACAAGCGTTAGTCCTATCTCTATATCTCACGCCTCATCAAACACAAGATGTCATATACCTTTCACTTGTCGGGGGAATCCCTGATCTTCTGTAATCACTGTCCACAAGAAAACTCAATTCCTACCAAGTTTCATAATGCTCAATTGGCACCCACGCTCCTTCCTCTAAGCGCACCGGAAGTGGCACATCGTACCCCAGCGCCGCCTCTCTTAGCCCTATCAAATCTCTCAATCTGCGAGACTCTGATCCTCGTGTCCACATATACGTCAACCACACATCCCAATCGCTACTCATCACCACACGCCACTCGTTCCGTACCACTCTAATCCTTTTTGACGCACTCTTTCTTACGACACCACTGCCTTCTCAGACAACTCTACGACTCAGGCTCAAAATAGTCGAGTAAGTGTTGTGCACTCTCTCGTCAGCTCCATGGAAGTAGAAGGTAAACTCGACGTATCTCTGGCATCTCCGTATCTCCATGACATGCTCAGTCATGAGTCTGATCCGACGCGCAACATTGTCCATCGCCTCTTCTTTCCAACCCCCTATCCTATCTCGTCGCAAGGAAAGAGTCACTCTCAGTATGTCTCTCCCTGCCATCTCTATCAGTGCTTACTGCCACTCCCGTCTTATCTAAAGTTTTCTCCCTATGTTTACGAACATACACTCCACCACTCTCCTCTCTAGGCTACGCCCGGATATGCCCTTCCTCTAGTCGTCTCGCGCATCCAGCATATCCTCATCCTCATCCCCTCGTCCCCAAGGGATATCCTCCTGTCCCTCGGCCTGTAGGATATGTCCCCAGCCGTCCTCCTGCGGCGCTACCTCTCCTACTGGCTCCTGGCGATCCCCTACCACCCGGTCTCCCCAGCCCTGGTCCTGCTCTCCCCAAGGCTCTATCTCACCTACAGTCTCCCACTCTCTATCCTCAGCTTACCACCCAAGATCCTCTCCCTCTGGGTGTACCTGCTGATAGTGCGCCTCTATCTCCCAGGACGAAATAAGGGGAGGAGGCCTGTCCTCGCGCGTCTCACTCTGTAATGCGCCTAGGCCCTCCAGATAGTCGACCGGTCTCTGAGCCTCTCTCTCTAGCGCTAGCCAGAACCCCAAAGGCTGATACGGGTAGGAGGAGTCCTGCTCTCCTGAAGGTGCCAAGGCCCGTATAAACTCTACAAGTTGGATACCTCTCTCGCCTATGAACAGTCCTCCAACTAACTGAGCGTATGAGATCCAATCTCGATCTGCCAATCCCCTCCTCAGTCGGTCTAACTCGCGGCTAGCTCAATAGGTGTCGACAATGTGAGCCAGCCCCCAAAGCTCCTTCACTACGAACAAGGGAAGTCTCACTCGCAAACTCACCGAGGGAAAAACAAAAGCCCCTCCTCTCTGGAGCGTCGCCCTCGCCTCCCTAATCGGACCGTGAAAATCCTCACTAGCTGCGTGGACGCTATCTATCAATCAAGATAGAATCTCTCCTGCCTCCTGCTCACACCGCCAAACCCGTGCACTAATCCCTCAAAATAGACAGTAGCACTCACCGCGCGAGAGTAATAGAGATGTCATACAGCCTCAATACTCATCGTCCCTGGCGCTCGCGAGCGCTGGGCATCCCGCAGATATGCCTCTATCGCATACGCCCACATGTGCACGTCCTGCCCCAACCGTATCGATTTCCAGGCCGAATGGAGTCCAGGCTCTGCGACACTCCTGGCCGGTAAATCGAACTCTAGTACATCTGGCTCCACCGTCTCAGGAGGCCTAGGCCATCTGGCACTGCCGATCTCGAGCTCCACTCTACCAGCCTGCTCTACCATCGAACCGTGGAGGTCTCTGTCTTGCTCTCCTCCAAGCTTATCACCTCTAACCTAACTCGCCCTCTCCTGTCGCAGGGCTCCGCCTAGGCCCTAATCGGAACTCCTATGCGTGGGAAATGCGCGTCCACCATGTCGTCCTCCTCCTCGTCGTCGGTCTCACTCTCTGAATCGACCCAGTCCGCCTCCCAGGCCTCCTCGTCGCCGAACTGGTCCTCGATGCGATATGGAGTCTGGCCTATAGCCTCATAATACTGCTCTAACTGGTAGCTGTATATCAGAGGGTGGCCAACGTCGCTTCTCCAGCTACCCCAGTCGTCGGTGAAGAGTCTCCTGATACAAATGACGTACTCTGGGCCTGCTCGGAGCTCCCGATCCAACCAATCTCAGATGCGCTGTGGCTGAGGCCACTCGTCGCCTATCGAACGGATCAGCTCTATAAGCTGGATCCTCTCGTCTCCCCAACGGAGTCCTCTGATCGCAAGGGAGTAGTACAGATAGTCGAGCGCCTGTTACCCTCTGGCAAGGACCTCCAAGTCTAGGTAAGCTAGGTATGCCTCTACTACCCCGCCTATGCCCCCGAAGATGGACTCTACCACGAATGCAGGTACCACCGCCCTCAGACTCGTGACGCTGTACAGAAAGAACTGGTCTCGAGCTATCACAAGCTCGCCTGTGATATCGAGAGGAGGTCGGCTGTGGAATAACGTCAATGGGCGTCGTCCGCTCGGAAGGCGGCCACCTCGTCTCGCAGATAGCGTAAGGCCCTGATGATGGCGTAGCTAGTGCCAGCAGTCACGAGGCTCAGGGCAGCGTCCTTGGCTGCGTCCGGTCCCAAATACAGATATCCTCTCACTAATCCACTCTCCTGACCCAACCTTGTCTCCCTATGTGTCCAAAGCCACTCGTCTGGGACAGGACGACGGATCTCCACCCAAATTGGTCGTCACCGTAGTGATTGTCGCGCGCGGGAATTGTGAGCTTTACCAGATCCACCTCTATGAGCTCCGGAGGCTCTACGTTCCAAGCACAACTAACCTCGTAGACCTTAATCTGCGCTAACGGCCACATCCAACCGATGTACAGAGAGACGATTCTAAAGGGAGAAGGATAGAGAAGGTAAATGAAGGTAATGATAGACGACCGATTCTAGGAAAATTTCGGCAGCGCTTCGCCTCCCTTCGTTGGGACTCCCGATGATACGCTGCCGACCTGTATCCTGCCTAACCCTAAGGTATCTTAAAGGGTCGTACGACCAAAATCCGGTCCTAAACAGAGCAAACGGACCCTATAATCGAGTTCCCTCGATTACAAAGCGTGTGCTCTGTTCGAGGGAACTCTGCCCGTTGCTTCTCCGATCACCTTTCTGTAGTAAAGAAGCCCCTACCTAGCCAAAAAAGGGTCAAAAGATCCTGTACCCCTTTTTGGCTATTTTCTAAGCCATTTGTATATTTTAAAGGAATTTTAATAAATTTAAATTAATAAAAGCCCCTTTAAAGCTGAGAAAACCCACTGGCTCACCTCCTCCGATTAGGGGTATGCTAAGTGACCCATAGGGAGTAGCGCGACAAGTGCGTCTCTCTCCCCAACACGCCCCAACTATTTATTTTTAATTTATATTATATAAATATCAAATAAATCGATTTAATTAGGAAAATTTCCCGTCGCTGGACCCAATCCCTAAAAGGGGTAAGGGAAACAAACTTGTATTTTCTTCTCTCCGATTCCCTATCCCATCCTTGTCTAGGGATTTTTTTTGTATTTTACTGAATTTAATTTACAAAAATTCTTTTTACGTAAGATATATTTCCTTTCTTATTTTCCACATATATATATATTCCTTATATATATCTCTATGCAAAACTGCTTGATTTAAGAAGCCCGTGACGAA